GAACCTTACATTGCAATAAGATAGCCAAGCACTCATATTCTCAGCTGTAACTATGATCATCTTCTTCTCTTCATCCCACAAGTTCAACACGCTTCGCTTTTGAATATCAACTATCACTCCATAGCTTTTCATCCATGCTCGAATTCTGTTCTTGAATCTTTCGTCACACTGATTGCCAAATCAGTGTCTAGTTGATCCACAACTGCTTGGTATGCTTGCGTCTTCCAGTCTCCACCACCCTTATTTCCTTGAACTATTTGATCCAGCAACACCCAGCTTAGAATCTTGTCCATTGTCGAATCCCAAACACGAGATTTACCGGGTAAAATACTTCCCCGTCGATTCATTCCTACAACAATAATAACAAATAGACAGATCACTTCAGTAGGCCAATCAAACAATTGAACCCTGAAACATACTCTTATAAGTTCCAATTCTTTAAAGACTTCAACCTAAGGCTCAGAGTCTAATTGCATCAAGTTAGCAACAAGCTTTTTAAACATAACTAGGTAAACTAGCTACTACACTTGGATCAAGTTAGCAGCAAGCTTTTCAAACATTTCAGATCCACAATTTTAGCATCATATATTACAACAGATAGCAACAGAAAGACCATCCAAAAAATAAACTATCTTCAAATACATGCTTGAAAACAGTGAATTATGCTTGACAAACATCAACATCTTGCATATGATGAAGCTACAGATGTATATATCTTAAACATAAGCCAGTGCGTGGAACTTAAGATAAATTACTGCTGCCTGCTGCTGGTTTGATCATTAAGCCAGTGCGTGGAAAAAGGGGGGCCAACCCTTTAAGAATAAGGCTAATTAATTATACTATACATACGCCTCCATTGGACCAAAACTGCAAAACACAAGAAGAATACCTGAGCTGAAAGACCCAAATGCAAACCTGCAGCAATCCAAGTCCAGTCAATCACAAGTTTCAACATCAGACATTCAGCTCTACACTTCCATCATCAGCAGACAAAACCAAAAACTACATATGTCTACAGCTTCTCCATCGTGGCTCTACAAGAACTACCAATTAGCATCACTACAAAGGAATTCATTTACCTGCTACCCAATAACACAACAAGGATTACATTTACCTGCTACCCAATACCAAATTGCAAACCAGGCCACCAAACTTCAACAGGATGGGACCAAACCATTCTCATGGTGCATTTTCTACTGTTAATTTCCATCCTTGAAGTTCTCAATCCAAATTCGACTTTCTTTCCAATAATGGCTCGAATTCTCAAAGAAAGCTGAACCAGCGGTGGCACCCTCGAATTCTCAAAGGGGATTGAAGTTGATCGATTGGCTGGGGAGCTAATCGGGTGTTCATTTGTAATCGAAGAACTTCAACGAAAACATCTAGTGGATCGTCGGAGATCGCGAATGGCGAGCCTCTGACCGTGGAGTAGTCAGTATTGGGATCCTTATTCTCCCAATACAGGAAACCACGTAAAAATTCGTGTGTGGTCTCATCTCTTTTATTCTCTGCGATTTCAGTGTTCTTGCTCTGTTCTTGTTTTGTTCTTGTTTTGTTCTTGGTGTCTAATAAATTGCAGGGACTTTGTCGATCCATGGAAGAAGAAAACTAATATCCAACGCTTGTTAGTGAAACACAGCACTTTGGAATAGCAGCTGTCAAGCCGTCTTAATAAAACGCAGCATTTTCATTAAGTTTCTGCAGGCATTGCGTTGGACTCAAAACCAAAAGGAAAGGAGAAATCTCCTGGGCCAAGTCACAAAGCCCAATTGAGATTATCTCTCGTTCACTGTTCAGCCTACAAACATCAAGCCTATCCCGTTTAGTATAGTTTTGTTGTTGTTGTGGTTGTAGTATGGTTGTGTAACACAAGAGAAACCACAACAACATAAAAATAGAAAACAAAAACATGTTTAGTTGGTAATTATGGCATATCATAAAAATTGACAACAAAAAACAGAAACGCGTTTAGTTCTTTGTAACGAAAAATCATAAGAACATTTCTCAATATACAGCAAAGGAAACATGGATTGAGCTGCTGAGCAGGGGAGGCCCGACGGCGGCTGTTAAGCAGGGGAGGCCCGGCGACGGCTGTTGAGCAAGGGAGGGGAAGTCGCGGCGGCGGCGGGTCGGAGGGCGGAGGCGGCCGGTCGGGAGGCGCGGAGGCGGAGGGTCAGGAGGTCGGAGGGTCGGGAGGGCGGAGTTGGCCTGCATGGAGTGGGGAGAAGGCGCCGGCGTGTATGGCTGGAGGGGAGAGCGGCGCCTGTGTTTGAGACAAAATTGGAGAGGTTGGGGGCGGCTGAAGTAGGGTTTGGGGGTGGTGTTAAAATTTTTTTTTGCTTCTGTGGGGATTCGAAAACTGGTCTGTTTTAATGAAATCAAGCGCCCAACCAGTAGGAATTTCGTGTGCAGCATGTTTAAGAATCAGATCCAAAGCTATAAATTGTTGTTTCTCATATTTGGGCCTTGTTGTGCAACTCTGATTCACAACAAAAAATAAAAATCCAACTAAACACGATTTATTTTCTTGGTTTTCCAAATTTCTTAAAACACAACAGGAAACAAAAACAAGCAACAATACTAAACGGGCCAAAGTTACAGAATTCAGTTACGAACAGAATTCAGTTACGATCAAACCTTAATCTCTCTATCTTCTAAGGCTAAGGCTGGGAAAATAGACCGTTAGAAAAATCGTGGTCCAAACCGTACCATACAGTTTGGTCCGGACCGTAGACCGTTAAGTATGGTTTGGTCTGGTTTGGTCTGGTCTAGACCGCGGTTTACCAGACCAAACCGTGGATTCAACCCACTTGTCAATACGTGTTAACAGCCTATTCGGCCACTCTCCCAACTCCCATAACGACACCCAAGTCTCAACCTTAGTTTTGTGAATCTCGTCCCTCCTTCATTCACAACCACATTTAACCAGAGAGTAGAGATAATCGTGTCTCCATATGACATTATGTTAATGTTTATGACGTTATGGTGCAAGTTGGGATACTTTTACTTTGTATATTTGTTATGTACTAAGATTTAGGGTATTAAAATTTCATGCATGTTAGGATTAATATTTTAAGGCAAATAACAATTATTTTTCTTGGTTATTGGTTCAATTTTTTGTGTGGTTGACTAAACAAATTATTCATTTTTGGTTGAGTGTGGTCTATCTGGACCAGACCAGACCGAACCAGACCGCACAGGCGTGATCTGGACCGGACCGTATAGTCTTTGGTCTGGTCTGTGGTCTATACTTCAGCCTCTCGGTTTGGACCATAGACCATATATATGGTCTGGTCTGGACCAGACCGCACCGTTTTCCAGCCCTACTATCTTCCCTCACTTGTTCTTGGCAATAGGTTGAGTGTTTTTTTTTTTTTTGCAGGCGGCGAACCAGGTGAATTAAGATCAATTTGGAGGAAAAGTCTCGCGGCGAACCAAGGTTGACCGGCTGATGTGACATTTTTCGTTGACTATCACGTCATAATAGCTCTTCCACGTCAGCATATATTTGCCAACTCACCATCATCTAACAGTTGGCTATTATTTTGTATTTGAATAGTTTTGGCTAATATTTTGACAAATGTGAAAGGTGTGGCTAATATTTTGTGTTTACCCTGTTATCTAACTATCATATACTTCTTCAACTATCAGCATTCTCATCAACTGTAAAAAATTATTGTGCAACAAATTGGAAGAGAACGTCGATAGTAGCTGGAAAGCGCAAGGGAAGACGAGGGATCGTTTGAAGCCTGGGTTACAGATGGGTTGGACAAAGATGGATGAAATGATTATTGGCCGCAAAAGCCAAGTTATGAAATGGAGGGAGTGGAGGTTGGAACAGTTCCGATGAAGAAGATATGCCAGGAAGTTGATGAGCAACAGGGAAATCAGGTGGAGGTAACAGGGAAATCAGGTGGAGGTAGCCATCCTAAAGTGGCTCCAACCCTGATAATTTATTGGTTGTAAAATTACTGTCCTAGTTTTGGTTATGTTATGCCAATGCCATGGTTGGCAGAAGCTAAGAGCAAAAGAAAAAATGGAAGAGTAAGAAAGAGGAGGGGTAATGGTAATTAGGGGTGGCTATACGGTCCGGTCCGGTTAAATTGGCCCAAATTGATCCGGTCCAGTCCGGGTTTTTTGAAAATATAAGGACCAAAGATTGGATTGGATACAGTCCGTCTTGACCCGGTCCGGTCCCAATTCGGTCTTGGTTTTATATTGAGATTGTGGGAATTTGAGTGGCCTAAGGCCTAAAAGGGTGAGGAGTTAGTTAAGTTTTGTACTAAGTGCAAAGGTTTGTGACCGTTTATGCAAATTATCCTTAAGTTTTGGATGTTGAGCTCTCTTATCCGGTTTTTTACCTCAAATCTAAACCCAAAGATTGGATTGGATTGTTTACTATCCGGTCCCGGTCCGGTCTCGGTCCGAGTTATACGGTCCGGTTTCCAGTTTTTCATCCGGTCCCGGTCCAAATAGCCACCCCTAATGGTAATAACTTTAACACGCTCTTATATCATAATAACAATTTAGGATTTATAAATTTGAAGAAGTAAAAACTATCTCATTCTTCTTTTTCATTATATATATCAGGAACTACAGCACATGGTAAAAGATCCAGTTGTGTTTGTTATAGTGAAAACGATAAACAAAGTGGTGGTAAAAAAACAAAGTTGTTAGCATGTGATTTTTAGATGTTGTGGCTACTTCTAGTTCGAATCATGGAGACGATGAAAAGAAGAAGACCTTCTTTTTTAGCTAACCTTTTATTGTGTTTCCATACCAAAGGTACATAAAAAATGATATTCAATAATGACAGTCGATATCGCATAGAACACCCTTGATTTTATGCAAATTATCCTAGTTAACAATTAAAAAAATAATGAAATACTATCCTAATATTTTATGCTCATACCAAACAATGAAACTCAAACTAGCTACCAAAGACCTAGAAAGCAAATCCAAAATGCCCACAACCCTCCCCCTCTCTTTTCCTTCCATTGCTAATGCCACGGAAGACAAAAATCAAAAGCACGTGTGCCAGAGTCGAAAAAGCAAGGACCACTCTTCCTTATGGCCCATTGACAATAAGTGCAGCGCAAGATGTCCCTTTTAAAAACGTAGATGTCAAACCAATGAACCCCCTCCCCCCAATCAGCGCTGCAGTAAAACAGAGTGGTTCCAAAGATGTTCGGTCGAAAGTTCCATTTGATGCCTTCATGTGTTAGTAGCACAAAGACCCCAATATCGTCGTCTCTGGATTTGCAATGAAGTGTCAGTTTCCGCCCTCCCTCCACCTCATTCCTCACCACCACAGACGTTTTAGGATACCATGGAACCCATGAGTTCCTCGCCTCGATGAAAGAAGTTGTTTGTGTTAACAATAGGATGACAACAAATATGATGTAGTTTTGCCTCGACATTTTTTTCTTTGGTTGCTTGATGAACCCTAGACTTCGAATTTATATTATGATTATTATATCTATATATGTGGGGTAGATAACTACAAGCATTATTTATGGTAATACAAAACCCATTCAAATAACCATAAACTTCGGATAACACAAAATAGTATTAAGGTGCAATAAAATAGAGAAGAATTTTAGACTAAGTTATCCCATCACTAACTAAATAAACTAAAAATCCGAAATTCATGCACATGGACATATATATTCTACCAACACATTGAGTTCAATTTATTTTGTCACCTTATGGATAACAAGTTTGAGTTCAATTTCTTTTGTCAAATAGTTCAAGTTCATGGAGCAAATATAGAATGCCACTATGTAAGTATCACAATGCTAAAGTGCAAATAGACCCACGAATATGATTTAAGCAATCAAAATAAATTCAAATATATTAAGATAACAAGCATATTAAGATTCAAGACAGTGTCATGAAGCCAAAAAAATATTGGTGAATAGGTATAACCAATTAAAAGTTTTGAGTTAATGATATTTAAATGAGTTAATACGTTACTTTGGCACGAACTATACCCAAACTTACTACTTTGGCCCGTTATTTCTGAAATTGCTCCTCAGGTTCGAACTATGCACCATACTTCTTTGCTTGGCCCGACGTGGGTTTTGACTGTCAAATTGGACGGTCAACTCCATTAACCGTTAGAGCATCCACATCAAGTTTGCATTTTGAATTGCAAATTGATGTGGCAATGGAAATGCAATTGCATTTCCAATTGCATGGATATGAGTCTCAATTGCAATTATCATAGCTTTCATTTTATGCAATTCCATATGCAATTGTCATGTAAGCATTTTTTTTTCTTTTATTATTTTTGTTTATGGATAAAATAATAAACTTATAAACCTTTTTTTTATAAAAAAAATATAATTTATGGGCACAAAAACAATTGCAAGTTAATTGCATTGATGTAGGTGAATGAAATTAAAGTGATGTGGATTGTAAAAAAGTTGAGTTGTCAATAAAGAATACAAATGCAATTGCATCGATGTGAATGCTCTTAGTCAAGCGTTAGCTCACTTGCCACCCTGAAACAAAAACTTTGGATTTTGAATTTATATAAATTGTTTCAATTTCTCATACCCCCTGCAAGATATTGCTCATCGAAGCTGGAGGTTCCCGAGTCCCTGTGAAAAGGTCGATTAAGGGAGAACTATCAAGCTGTGGGAAAACTCCAACAGTCATGGAAGATGCGTTAAATTTTTGGAGATTACTCCGATGGGTCGTGCTTTCTATGTCATCATTCCACTCGAAAAAACTTTCTCTGGCTGGAATGCCTTAATCCGCGCTATGGGTGAAACTAGAAAAATCTCTCCTGCCGTACCTTGCATTTAGGAACAGTAGGAATGCTGAAGTTGTGCCTGAACGATCTTACGCGGATGGACACATATGTTTCATTGAGGCGGAAGAAGTCGGAGTGAAGGAAAGGCTTAGATTTTTGGATCGTTGTATTTGTCTTAGAGTTCTTCGGAACCCAGAACAGGGGACTTCCCAAAAATTGGAAATTAAGCTCAGATTTTAGGTTCTCTAAACGCTATGGTGATTATTGGATGCTGATTTGCCCAAATCTCTCGGAAGCAATTTACCTCGACAAACTCTAGAGGTAGGATTGCTATCTTCTGGGAGCTGAGTAATTTTGATTTTTTTTATGGTTAATCAAAATTGCATTTAAGTACTGGGAGTTGCAACTTGCAAACCTCCCTCTCAAGGATTACAACTGTGCTGGGAGTTGCTATCTTCTGTAAACGTGTGTTTCTTTCCCTCCAAATGTAGCTAATGCCCATTATCCAAAGCACTCTCCCTATTGCAGCCCTGTCAGACTTCACCCCCCATTGCCTCTCAGCCCATTGCAGATGTGCACTCCAGTAAGAGAACCCAGGGAAAACACACACTTTATGTAATAACTGTCGAAGCACCTCCTGTCCAAATGAACACATCCCAAACAAATGGTCTCTGCTTTCATCACCACCTGGACACAAGACACAACAGGGGTTACAGACAACACCCCCACCAGCAAGCTGGTCTTTAGTCCTAAGACGCCCCAGCACAGCCAACCATAGTAGGACACAATGCTTAGGATAAATAGGCTTATCCCACACAACGCTGCTCCATGTTACCGTTGGAGAGGCCTCTCTGATAGTAGACCAGACAAGCTTCATAGAGTATTTAGGGATCCTCTGTCCATCCCATGCTAAGGTATCACCTGCACCAGAAATATATGGATGAGCATAGCTCCTACGCTTCAAAATTTTCTTCCAAACCCATGTGCTTACTGAGCTAGCTGGAAGAGTCCACAAGCTCCTCCCTTTGACCCTGTACCTGTTCATCCATGCCACCCATAATGACCCTGCCTCCGCTAGTAAATTCCACAAGTGACGAATCACACAAGCCTTGTTCCAATTTTTAAAATCCCTAATACCCAGACCTCCTTCCTTGCGTGGGAGAGCTAATTGAGACCATGCTACCAAAGCTTTCTTCCTCCTGACTCCATCCACACTCCACATAAATTTATTGCAAGCAGCCTCAATCATTTTAAGCACCTTCATTGGAAGTAAGAACACATACATCCAGTATTGGCAAACACTACTAATGACAGAGTCTATCAACTGAAGCTTGCCAGCATAGCTCAAGGTCCTAGCTTGCCAGCTAGTGATCCTTTTTGTGATTTTCTCAACAAGGCTTTGACAATCAACAAAGGTCAACTTACCTGAAAGCAATGGTACCCCCAAATATCTGACAGGCAGTTCCCCAAGAGGGAAACCAGACTGATCAGAAAGTGCTTGCTTCTCTTCTTGTAGCAAACCAGCACAGAATAGTTGGCATTTCTGCATATTACACTTCAACCCAGATATTGAATAAAACTTCTCCAGGACGTTCTTTATACCCATCAAAGCTTGAGGAGACCCATCTGTGAAAACCAACAGATCATCCGCAAAACAAAGGTGGGTGATTTCCAGACTTTTACATCTAGGATGAAATGGAACCTCATTTGATTCAACAGCTCTAGCCAACAAACATGAGAACACTTCCATCGCTATAGTAAACAGGTATGGGGATAAAGGATCCCCTTGCCTCAGACCCTTAGCAGTTGGGAAATACCCACATAAACCGCCATTGAAGGAAACACTAAGCATAGGAGTCACTACACATGCCATAATTAGTTCAACAAACCCCAAAGACAGACCCATAGCACACAGTACCTTAAACAAGAACCCCCAATCAACTGAATCAAACGCTTTCATTAAATCAATCTTGATTGCACATCTAGGTGATAACCTGCCCCTACTATAATCCTTCACTAACTCAGTAGCCATTAGAATATTATCACTAATCAGTCTCCCCCTAATAAAAGCATATTGACTGTTTCCAATAAGTTTAGGCAAGATCAATGACAATCGATTAGCAAGGATCTTAGAGATACCTTTGTATATGACATTGCAACAAGAAATAGGCCGAAAATCCTTCATCTTCTCAACCACTGGAAGTAATTTTGATTTTATTAATGCTTGGGAGAGCAATTTCTCGCTTGCAGTACAGCTTCGTGAGGCTGGAAGTCGGGACAGTTTTGTAATTCTTGGTGTTTATGTCCCTCGGGAGAAGGAGGACAAGCTAAACTTTATTCGAGAACTCCAGTTTGTTTGTCAGAATAGTGCAATCCCCTTTGCATAATTGGGGATTTTAATTTGGTTCGTTCTGATGAAGATTTCATTGGGCAGCCTCGGGATGGGAACTAATGATGGAGTTCAATGACTTAATTACTGCATTTGGACTTATTGATTTGCCTTTGAAGGGCTCTGCTTTCACCTGGAGTAGGGGGAGGGACTAGGGAGGTCAAGATCTTTCTCCCGTATTGATAGAGCCTTATTAAATCAGAGTTTTGACTCGAAGTTCTCCCCTGACTCCATCCTTGCACTGGATCGCGTAGAGTCAGATCATAACCCTATACTTCTTATATGGGGTTTGGAGGAAAGGGTAAGACGACCATGGTGTTTCGAGAATATGTGACTCCTTGATGATGATTTTTTTAGCTAAAGTCGTGGTAGTTGAATCTGCCGGTTATAGGGTTTGGTCCTTTCTTCTTGGCAGGACAAAGGTTGAGAAACACCAAGTCTATGATCAAAGCATGGAATATTGAGCATTTTGGGAGGTTGGAGTCCAAAATTTCCGGGCTGCTGACAAGAATAAAGGAAATTAACAAGGCTGATGAGAGGGGTCATGCTATGGATTCTGACCTAATCGAATGAGGTCTGCTGAAATGTGAACTTGAAAAGGTACTTCTGATGGAAGAAATATCATGGAGGCAAAAGTCAAGAGAATTTTGGTTGAAAGTTGGAGACAAAAATACTGTCTTCTTACACCGAGTGGCCATGGCTAATCGTAGAAGAAACAAGATACAAAATTCAAAGATGAATGGCTCGATCATTTCTGAGAAAGTTGAGCTGCAGGCTGCGTTCATTGATCATTATAAAGAAAGATTCAGAGAAACTGCAGATGTAAGACTGCTCCCGTTGGATTACAGAAGTGGGGTGATTGATTTAGAAGAGGATTACAGGACAAGCTCTCCCTTCACTGAAGTAGAATTATGGATGACGATAAAGAGCTGCAGAGGTGATCGAGCTCCAGGGCCGGATGGCTTCACCCTTGAGTTCTTCAAAAAAAATTGGAATATCGTGAGAAGGGATTTACTGAAGGCTTGTGATGAGTTCTACATTTCTGGTTTTGTGTCGGACTGCATTGCCCATACTTTCCTTCCATTGGTGCCTAAGAGGGAGGCTGTAGAATCTATTAACGATTATCGGCCAATTAGTCTGATTGGAAGCATTAACAAAATTGTCTCAAAGATGTTAATTGCTCGACTTCGACCACTAATGGATAAGGTTGTTTCTTTTCATCAATTTGATGGCGTGAGGGGCTGACAAATTCATGAAGCAAGCTTAATCAC